AAAATTTAAAAGTTCCTCAAAATATTCTCGCCATCTACCTAATACCTCCCTCTCCCCATCTACTAACTCCCCTACTCCGTTTTTAACTGACAAATCCATACTTTCCCTAGGCTTTCTTAACTTGTTTAACTCACTCCAAATTTTTTTCTTATTTTCATTAAAATTTCTTGACAGTGCCTCTCCCACTCTTTTCATCTGCTCTCCTTTTGCACTCTCTCACCACTCTCTTCACCTTTCTTTTACTCTCCATATACTCTGCTCTTCTTATAACACTTCTGCTTTGTAAAAAACCTCTCGTAAGCTACCTTTTTCTCTTTTATCACACCCTTTACTTTATCATTCCACCAATCACTCCTCTTTCCTCCTGCCCCCACCCTCCTATAACCACAAACTTCTGCCTCACATTCTAATACTGCATTTTTAAAACTATTCCAACCCTCTTCAACCCTCCCACTACTCATCTTTGCACTAGCCCACCTTTCTGCCAATAGTCACTTATATCTCGCCCGAACTTCCTCCTCCCTCTTATTTGTTGTTGCCACCTTCCTCTTTTCCCATCTACCTCTTACTCTAACTGTAGCTACAACTAAATAATGATCTGACATATCAGTTGCCCCTCTATAAACATGTACATCCTGGAGCCTACCCATCAACCTTTTATCCACCAATACATAATCTAACAAACTACTTTCATTACGTGCTACATCATACCTTGTATATTTATTTATCCTCTTTTTCATAAAAATAGTATTACTTATTACCAAATTTCTTTCTACACATAGCTCAATTAAAGGCTCCCCATTTACATTTACCCCTGGCACCCCAATTTACCTACTACTCCCTCCATAACATTTTTACCCACTTTAGCATTGAAATCCCCAACCACATTACTCTCACACTTGATTCAAAACTCCCCCACGCATTCACTCAACATTTCCCAGAATCTCTCTCTCTCCTCTACACTTCTTTCTTCTCCAGGTGCATACACGCTTACTATAACCCACTTTTCACATCCAATCTTTATTTTACTCCACATAATCCTTGAATTTATGCATTTGTAGTCCCTCTTTTCCTGCCATAGCTTATCCTTCAACATTATTGCTACTCCTTCTTTAGCTCTAACTCTATTTGAAACCCCTGACCTAACCCCATTTATTCCTCTCCATTGAAACTCTCCCACCCCCTTCAGCTTTGTTTCACTTAAAGCCAGGACATCCAGTTTCTTCTCATTCATAACATCCACAATCATCTCTTTCTTATCATTTGCACAACATCCACGCATATATATATATATATATATATATATATATATATATATATATATATATATATATATATATAGATATATAATATATATATATATGTATATATAAAATATATATATATATATATATATATATTTTATATATATATATATATATATTTATATATATATATATATATATGTCGTGCCGAATATGCAAAACTGGTCAATTAGCAAGAACTCATTTAAAATTAAGTCCTTTCTAAAATTTTCTCTTATTCGTTTAAAGATATATATTTTTCATTAATGTTAATGTAAAAATATTTAATTTTGCACCAAAAGAATCTTAGAAAACTTACCTAACCTTATTATAACAAGAACAATTTATTTTAGCCTAACCCAACTAAATATATTTTAAATACGTTTATAATAATTTAGTACTAAACAAACGCAATCAAATATATTTTTTTCGTTAGGTTCAGAATGAATTTGGCGAAATTATTGCATACACAAATTTTCACTTGTCCTAAATGGCAAGATGAGCGTTGCTATTTAAGCCAAGATCGCAAGTTCTGCCTATTCGGCACGACATATATATATATATATATATATATATATCTTAGGTCAATTTAAATTTATTTAATATTTCAACATCAACATTTTCACCATTAACATTCTCAAAGTTAACTCAGCATCACCATTAATTAACATCAGAAATTAATGAGCTAATATTACTTCCCTTAATGTGACATCATTTTCTGTCCTGAAATTTTAAGTAATTCTTAAATAAATTTATCTGAGAAAGTTTTTCAAAAATCAAGAACGTATCATCCACGTATCATATAAATTATTGATTTAAAATCAACAGTAGCATCATCAAGGCAAATCTTATTATGAAACCATAGATATATACTTGCAAGAGTGAATCCTAGGTGAGACCTCGTGTATACAGACAACCCGAACATAAGAGAATAAAACATATTGACAATGTTTCGGCTCGACTTGAATCGTTAACTAGTCACACAGAAGCGTGAAGGGAAGAGAGCCAGTATAACTACGAGAGAGAGAAAGAGAGAAGTCGTAGTAGTGGTAGAGGTAGTGTAGTAATAGTAGCAGTAGTAATTAGTGCAATAGTGGAAGAAGTAATTAGAAGGGAGTAGTGGTAGTGACTCAAGATTCAGTGAGTGGAGTGTTAGAGAACTCATAGCTACCCCATCAGTTTGTGCGCGCACATACACACACACACACACACACACACACACACACACACACACACACACACACACACACACACACACACACACACACACACACACACACACACACACACACCACAACAACAACAACGATAATGATGTAATTTTTAGCTTTGAAAGATTTAATCCAAGTGTTGAAGTATGCGCTAGAATGGACTGCATTTCTCTGCTTGTAGTCTATTGCTGCGCCAGTACAACAGTATCGGTGAGATGATGGCAGCCTTGGAGAAGACCTACGTGATCAGTAGCAACACCAAGAAGGACGTGGAGACATTGTGGCTGTGTCTAAGCAAGGTGCGAGCACTGCTTCCTGTCCAGATGTCGCAGGAGGAGGAGGCTCTTATGAGGGAGTTGCTCTGGTCAGTACTGCTCACTAACCTTCTTATTCTTAGTTCTTATTATCATTCTTCGTTATAACTTACTAACATTGTTAGTTCCTTCTTACTAACACATTCTTAATTGTAATTTATTTTGTTGGTTCCTTCTTACTAGCTTTTACTTTCATAGCTTACTGACTTTGTTAGTTCTTTCTTACTTATAACTTACTAACTTTTGTTAATTCCTTCTTACCAACCTTCTAACTTATAACTCTACATAATGCTTTAAACTCCATGAGTGTCAGTTGTGGCACGCTTGTGTCAGAAGTCGGACACACATATAGTAGCACTGTACAGGCAGTGGAGTCAGAGTACACCTGTGGATTCCATCTCACACTGGTCTCAGATGCATGATAGAACTGATAAACTGGTAAAGTCATATGCCTTCAAAAGGGGAGTAGATTACAGTCCTGGGCTAATGTACTGTCACTGTCACTAGAGTCCTGCAGCAAATGGTTAGCAGACAACAAATTATCCTTACACCTCGGAAAAACGGAAGCCATACTAAACCATACCACGGGTGGGGCTTGAACATGCCAGACTCCTCTGCACGAAAATTAAACTGAAAAGGGTAAATAATTTTAATGTCCAGTGTAATGGGGAACTCATCACTTCAGTATCTTCAGTGAGATATCTGGGAATCCCCCTTGACCCAAGCATGTTAGCAGAATTGATAGTGAACTGTAGTAAAGAAAGTGAATACCAGACTTAAGTTCCTCTACAGACAGGCTCGCAGGACGCTATGTCTAGCTCTCATACAGTGTCATACAGATTACTCTTGCTCATCATGGTACTCTGCCTTGACAAAAAAACTAAAAGATAGACTACAAATCACCCAGAAGAAAATGAGATTCATTCTGGATCTGAGTTCAAGAGATTATGTAGGTCAGGATGAATTACAACGACTGGATATACTGAATGTTTAAGATAGAGTTAAACAACTCAAGTTAATTCGCATATATAAAATTGTTCACAAGCAGAGCTCAGAATATCTTGCTGCTAAGTTTGTCAAGGGGAGGGGAACACAACTTTATAATACCCACAGTAGGTGGTCAGACTTCAGACACCTTTTATTGTACAGCAATAAAGGAGTGGAACGGACTCATAGCATGAGCCAGTTCAGGAAGAGAGCTAAAGGGTACCTAATGAATGAAGCTACTGGAAGAGAGGAGAATGATTTCCTTAATAGCTAACATAAATGTACCTATTACTGTGCGCTAACCCTCTCTTAAATGTTAATGTTAATAAGTCAGTTTACCTTATTTCTAGTATATCTCCTTGTAACTGTTTTTTCACATAGTTGAGTTACTTAGCATTTTTTAACTGTTAAGGTTTAAATAATAAAATATAACAAGGACCCTAATGTAAATAAGCCACTTTGACGATTTTTTGGGTTATCCTAGATAATCTACACATATGCTGCTATGTATGACAAATTATGTAGCTGTATGTGTACCTGGACCTGAATAAATTTACATATTGAAACTACAATTTCGGATATGTCAGAAATTCCTCAGTCCTCTGAAATGTCGAAACACTTAATAAAAGCAAAATTTCCTCTTGTTCTTCTATAAGTAACAATACTTCAGTAATTTTTTAGAGTAGTGAGCGGGACGGACAGGAACATGCACTTACTGATAAGCAAACAGTGACACTTCTAAGACAAGTTGTCAGTCCCAAACTGTAGGGAATTCTCAGCCTACAACAGCAGGAAAAATAACACATGATCTGACACATGCTCTGACACATTCTCTGAAACATATTTTGATACATACTCTGACATGCTCTGACACATGCTCTGGCACATGCTCTGACACATGCTCTGACACATGCTCTGAAATAATTGTGGCAGCAGTGTACAATCTGTCCGAACAAAAAATATTTTAAGACTTGAAACACGTGTGTCAGGCTTACAATAAGAGTACGAGGTACCAAGAGTACGAGGTACCAAGAGTACGAAGCACCTGCTTGATGGACTGAACACATCAACTCCAGGATAAGGACTGATTACCTCAAACTCCCCATCTTCCACCTTTCTTCTCTATTCGACTGAAAAAGCCACTGGCTAGCGAAACGTTTCCAAAATCAAGCTTCCCTAATGTTGCACAAGTGTCTCATGCATCAGCGTGTGGGCTTTGTAAATCATTGACATGACATGTTAAATGCTGTAATGAAGGTAAACTGACGTGTGTATTGCTCGTTGCAGGACTCTGGTGAACAACCATATCTTCTTCCAGCACCCAGACCTCATCAGGATCCTGTGTGTTCACGAGAACGTGATGGCTGTGATGATGAACACACTGGGGCGACGAGCACAAGCTGTTAGTGAAACCCAGCCTGTGGAGGGTGAGGTGACCCAAGCCAAGGAGAAGGTGCGGCCTCAACCACACCCTCACACCCTGCTTCAACCACACCCCAACACTCACCCTACACTTCCACTCCCTCACACACCCCAACACTTCCCCATACCCCAACACTCACCCTACACTTCCACTCCCTCACACACCCCAACACTCACCCTACACCTCCACTCCCTCTCACACCCCAACACTTCCCCATACCCCAACACTCACCCTACACCTCCACTCCCTCAAACAACCCAACACTCCCCCATACCCCAACACACCCTACACCTCCACTCCCTCACACACCCCAACACTCGCCGACACCCAAATACTCCCCCCACACAAACACCCCCCACACACAGTCCCCCCACACACAAACACTCCCACACACCCCAGCACTCCCCGACACACCCAAACACTCTGCATCAACTCATCACTTACCCTCTCATCAACCTATTTTCGCTGTTATATATTTTATATATATTTTAGTCACGTTATTCTACTTGTTTCTGTAATGTTACATTTTTGCCTCTTGCCACTTTTATCACTTCTCTTGTCTTATTGTTTGTATTTTTTCTATTTATTTATTGTCTAATTTTCTTGTGGCGTCACAGTATATTCACTGCTATATCTTGTTATGATTGTATTATTGGAGTCACAGAATATTGACTGTTATCTCTTGTTATTATTGTATTATACAAGTCATGATGATATTGACTGTTGTCTCTCCTTATCTTAGAGTTATGGAGGTTAAGATAGTTGATTAATGTCTCTCCTTATGGTTGTATTGTGGAGTTTATGATAGTTGATTAATGTCTCTCCTTATGGTTGTGTTGTGGAGGTTATGATAGTTGGTTAATGTCTCTCCTTATGGTTGTGTCGTGGAGGTTATGATAGTTGATTAATGTCTCTACTTACGGTTGTGTCGTGGAGGTTATGATAGTTGATTAATGTCTCTACTTACGGTTGTGTTGTGGAGGTTATGATAGTTGGTTAATGTCTCTCCTTATGGTTGTGTTGTGGAGGTTATGATAGTTGATTAATGTCTCTCCTTATGGTTGTGTTGTGGAGGTTATGATAGTTGATTAATGTCTCTCCTTATGGTTGTGTCGTGGAGGTTATGATAGTTGATTAATGTCTCTACTTACGGTTGTGTCGTGGAGGTTATGATAGTTGATTAATGTCTCTACTTACGGTTGTGTCGTGGAGGTTATGATAGTTGATTAATGTCTCTACTTACGGTTGTGTCGTGGAGGTTATGATAGTTGATTAATGTCTCTCCTTATGGTTGTGTTGTGGAGGTTATGATAGTTGATTAATGTCTCTCCTTATGGTTGTATTGTGGAGGTTATGATAGTTGATTAATGTCTCTCCTTATGGTTGTGTTGTGGAGGTTATGATAGTTGATTAATGTCTCTCCTTATGGTTGTATTGTGGAGGTTATGATAGTTGGTTAATGTCTCTACTTACGGTTGTGTTGTGGAGGTTATGATAGTTGATTAATGTCTCTCCTTATGGTTGTGTCGTGGAGGTTATGATAGTTGATTAATGTCTCTACTTACGGTTGTGTCGTGGAGGTTATGATAGTTGATTAATGTCTCTACTTATAGTTGTGTCGTGGAGGTTATGATAGTTGATTAATGTCTCTACTTATGGTTGTGTCGTGGAGGTTATGATAGTTGATTAATGTCTCTACTTATAGTTGTGTTGTGGAGGTTATGATAGTTGATTAATGTCACTTCTTATGGTTGTGTTATGGCATGGAAGGATGGGAAAAGGGGAGGTTTTGGTGGTCAGTAAAGACAAGTGTATGCAACACGGGTCTTACAGAGCTGATGCCCCAATAAGTGGTTAATGATCTCTTGATCTACTGGAACTATGATCTAGGATGAAATAAATCGTAAGAATGTTGACTCTTCTTGTCTGCTGTAAAGTGCTCATGTCTGGTGTGAGGTGTTGACTCTTCTTGGGCGCTGTGAAGTGTTCACTGGTGTTCATGTCTTCTGTGAGGTGTTCACCGGTCTTCATCTCTGAAGTGAGGAGATAAAAAAAATTCCTTCCGGTATATAATTATATTTTTCTAATGTCCTGCCCATCCTCCTGCTTGCGGCTTCCTCTCCTCCTTTCCTACACTTCTTTGCTATGTAGACGTATTAAATCATATTTTCTATAAGAAAATTCAGCTTTATTCTTGCATATAACAGACAACATTTATGCATGAATCATTATATTTTAATATCAAACTAATATTAAACTTTGCCTGTTATCCTTTGTACTTATTCATAATATATATATATATATATATATATATATATATATATATATATATATATATATATATATATATATATATATATATATATATATATATATATATATATATATATATATTCGTATATACTTCTTTATTAATGATATGAATTCTTTATACTAACATTCTTGTGTATGCACCACCGCTTACACGAAGCTGCCGTGTGTGTCTCCACTCAGTTATGTCTTCATTTTATGTATATCTTACGGATTTGATAAGCAGTGTGTCTGTGTACACTTTGTGGCTATACAGTTTGTGTGTATGTGTACACTCTGTGATTGAATCAGTATCCTTACTTCTGTTAGTCACTTTTTTACCTACCTTCACACACACACACACATACACACCCCGCCAATTGCAAAGTCTTGAAGACCGGGGAAGGGAAAAGAAGACTGCAGAGTATAGGCTAGATGACCAAAGACAGCTAACCTCACTCAAGGAAAAGGAAATGGGGTGAATATAATACCGAGTATATCTCCTGAGGCGCACATCAACCAGATAACTGCTGCAGCATATGGGCGTCTGGCAAACCTAAGTATAGCGTTCCGATACATCAGTAAGGAATCGTTCAAGACTGTGTACACCGTGTACGTCAGGCCCATACTGGAGTATGCAGCACCAGTTAGGAATCCACACCTGGTCAACCACGTAAGAAATTAGAGAAAGTG